AATAGGCTTCTGTGACCCTGACATTAGGCTACTTTTTCTATTTTATAGATTATTGCTATAGCACCGCTTGCCTGATCGAAGAGCTAGTACTTCTTCTAGAGAAAGTCTATACTATTATTCTCTAAGCTTTCTAAATAGTAATCTCTTTCTATTCTGCATCTAGTATAACGCTCTTCTATTTAAACTATAGCTAACCTAGAATTATATCCTATTAGAGGTCTAGTATTATATAAGTAATAAGATAGAATTACTATCTATTAATATTATACTTAAGAAAAGTAACTTAGGAAATTATAGCAGTTGTATTACTATAAGCTGCCTAAGAAAGCTACTAAAGCAGAATATTAAGAGTATAAGCTTAGAGTCTTTTACTATAACTAGTTGCTAATAGCACTAAAGTATTTATAGCTAAAATCTAACAAAGTATCTATATATATTAATCTGTTTAATAGAAGAGAGAGTAAGATTAGAGTACTATCTAGATAATCTAACATATCTTATTAAGTATTTGCTATATTTCTTTTTTTTGCTGCTAGCCTCTATACTAGGTATAGAGCAGAGGCTGCTAATTTTTTAAGTTACTTATAGAACTATCTAAATTAGCTGCTAATGCTAAAACTGCTAAGATCCTTTACTATATTAGAGCAGTTCTAAGCAAAGTAACTATGCTCTCTATAGTATATATAATCTTTATTATTACGCCTTGCCTAAAAGAGCTTCTTAGAGATCTAGTTTTTAATTAATTTTAAGCCTGCACCTTTACTCTGCTAAGTCTAACTAGATACTTTAGATCTTCTACTTATACTTACTATAGCTATTATGAGACTATTTTAACGTTACTATCTTTATTCTTTACTAAATAATATAAGAATATTTATATATTCTAGTTCTAGTTCTTTAAAGCTGCTATCTTAAGGTTAATAGTAATAGATTAGTATTTACAAACTTCTATATTATAATTAAACTAAGATATATCTCTATATAAAGCGACCTAGCGTAAGGCTAAATTTAAGAAATGCTAAAGCCTATTAAGTTTCTATTTACTATTCTAAAGAGCTCTATTATACTAAATTAGAAAAGACTTAAAACGTAAGAAGAAATTACTAAAGAGCTCTTTCTTACTCTAATAGAGGCTATCTAGCATAGCCTATGCTTATTTCTTGCTATAGATATTGCTATAGCAGAATGCAAAGTATTTTATAAATAAAACTAAGTTCTAAGCGCTGTTACTCTTACCTAATTTATAGTAGAGAGCTACTTCTTTCTAAACTTTTACTAAGAGATTTATCTAGATAAACGTATATTAGTTCTAATAATCTCTAATAAAGTCTAAGTTAACTATAAGCTTATGCGTAATAGTAATATGCTAAGCGCTAAAAGTAGCCTTATTCTCTAAGAATAAAGTCTCTTACTAGAAGTAGGTTATACTAGAATTAGCGCCTATTTAGTTATAGAGCAGATAGAAGTATTCTTTATTTCTCTAACGTTAGAAGTTACTATAGTTAGAACTA